GATGGTAAGGACAGTGGCGGAAACGGCACACCTACCATTCAGCTCATGAACCCTCCCCACGGTAAGGTTCCATTTGGAGATGTTGTTTTGACGCTCGACGATGAAATCTTTGTGGTTGTGCACTGAATGATGACCACCACACAGACAGCAATTCAACACCGGGTAGTAGATCAAGAGGGAATCCTCCGTGTTAACCGGGTTCTCAATGTAATGTTTCCAGCGATACAGGCCAGAAACGGGGTTAACCACCCGGTGGAAGTAGAAGCCTTCTTAAACAACAGATTTATGTTTCTTCGTTAGCGGAGCCATTAGCATCCCATGAAGCATTGCATGTGAAATTTCTGCCGAGACGCCTTTGAAATATAGCTCGATCACTGCGAGGCTGGTCGCCTTGAGCTTAACATACGCGGAGTCTTCCGGGTATCGCCAATCGAAAGTGTCGTACACCCTATCCTTGCACTTAAAGTTCCACCTGATTGCGCCAGACAAAGTTAGCATAAGAAGCCTTATAAAAAATAACTTGCATGCGACCGAATAACTGCTTTGACAAGTAAGCTGGCGTGAGCTCCTGGAACGTTGTGGTGGTGAGGTCGTCCTTCCACATTGCCAGTAGTGACTTAATAGTAACTTGGGTGCGCCTGACTTCATGTAGGAAGTCACTCGGCACCAGGAGCGTTATCGAGAACTTGGAGCGCGACGCAATCTCTCCCTTCGACTACGCGTCCACTTCTTTGTCTGAATCATAAGCGATGAGGCCATCGTACTCGTCGTTCAACGAATTCCAGACATCAGGTGCCATAGGTTCGTCATCCGCTACCTCCTCTTCCTCTTATTGATCACCGTTTTCCGCGCCATTGTTCACTTCAAACACTGCCTTTGTCTTCCCCTTCTTCCCTTCACTTGCAGTTTCTTCAATCCGGATAGCCGCCAGTTTTGCGGAGAGCATCAAAGATTCCGATTCCTCCGGCTCAAAGGGCCTTTGGCTGCCTTTGTAACTGTAGCCGACTTGAGCGAGAGACGAGACTGGGACTTGGGCTTAGCCAGGGTCGTTGCTGGTACCGAAGACGACGCAGCATTGGTCACAACAGCATTAGCAGTTGCCATGGTGGTATCAGTAGCAGCAACAGCCTTAGCAGCCTTAGCATTCCGGGATCTGAATGGCATCGTGCGATGATGAGCACCAAACCACCAAGTCCAGTAAGATGCTGGAAAAGAGTAAAAGCTGAGCATGAAACCTCCCGCATTGATAGCAATGTTGCTTGTATGTTGATGTTGAAACCCAAAGAATGGTCATTCATTGATAGTTGTGAAACTGGTAACTTCTGGAACACTAGATAAGGCAATCCATGAACCATGGCTTCTTTTTGCCTTGAGAGGGAAGGGATGAATGTTCGCTGTTTGAACACTTGAAAAATATCCACAGGTACCCTGCGTGAAGACGAACTCAACAGCCAAGGCTATAGCGGGAATGTCGAAGTCTAGGTATGACATAGGGTCATTCTTAGTCTGTGTCAGGCAGGCTGACATGAGGCTGTGAAGGGTTCGATTGATGATGACGTGGAACTATCGGAGCTGTCGATAGCCTTGTGTCAGGAAGCTTGATACAGGCTAAGAACGTACCCATAGAGGAGTTCCAGGCTCGCGGAACTGGCGGATGTAAGGGCGACGTCAGGCTGTACAACTTTTTGTACGCCCACTGCGGTTAACTTCGTTTCAACACGATGCAGAGCGGTAAAATTCGAGAACCGCTTTTCACCGTGTTGGAACGTTCTGAACCACGATACAAGAACTGTAAACCCATGAAAAATATATAACCTGACGTCGCCCTAAGGGCGTGTAAAATTGTAACGACCGAACGAATTTTCCGCCCTTTGCGCGTTTCTGGCGATTGCGAAACAATGTAACGCGTAAGCGATCCCCGCCACAACTTTTGCGAGCGCGTGGGGCATCCGCCACAAACCATCACCGCAATTGAAAACGAAATTTTTTATTCTTACTACTGCATTTGAACGGTGTATGGAACACAGGGGGCTCGAAGGCCTAGATCAGAGCTTTTTAACAAAGCGTTAAGTTTAGGCGAGTACAAAGGTTTTTCCCTTCGCTGAGGAAACGTGTCTACGTAGGTCCCAAAATGCAGCGCGTCCAATTTCTATGCAGAATACCCCTGCTATTTGGTCAAATCGGGGTGACTACTCTAAACGGCGTGACCCTAATTCCTCGCAATCGCCAGAAACGCCCAAATGAACGACTACAGCGTTTGGTCGTTATGGCTGACAAAATTAGGAGTAGTAAAGTTTAGAATGAAGAAGAAGGAAGAAGAAGAAGAAAGGAGTTCACTACCAAGCAGTTGAATACATATAGGAAACCCTAAGTCCGGCTGTACTCACTATTGAGTATCCCACTGCAGGCTAGACAAACATAACATTCTGACACACCCCCATAGCCAAAGTGGGGTGTAATCAGCACAGCAAGCAAAGCAGAACAAGCTCAGGGTGGATCATTATGTCACCACACATTCTAAGCACAAGTACAAGAAGCAACAGTTTCAAGTTCACAATTATGAGCAAAGCTAGTGGTATTCACAGCGGGCAAGTGAGGAGGAGGAGGGACAGTGAGAGGAGAGGAGATAGGAGGCGACGGCTGAAGCTGCAGACACACAGGCAACAGGAGTCACACTGGCACAGCGGCTACCGGAACAACGCTCCGGACTACTGGAGTAACTGGCTCTGCGGCTAAAACTAGCGGCAGACGAGCAACGGACCCACGGGCGACTGGCACAGCTGGCTGCGACTTGGCTACCGAAGCAACTCCCCGGACTACAGGTGCTGCTGGCGACACGACGGCAACCTCCGTTCAACCTCCCCAAACAGTTCCACCCCCCTGACACACACCCCTTGCTTCACCCCTAGCTCCACTCCCACGCCACCCCCCTTAGTACCACTCCGACGGCTCCAACAGGTCCACCCCCCTCAGCGGCAGCTGCAGCACTGGAAGACTGAGGAGGAGGAGGAGCAGGGGACGGCACACAGAAGCTGCACCCCCATACCCCCCACTCCCAAACCCTAATTCAGGAGAACGGGCAGCAGCCGGGGTGGGGCGCCATCAGAAGCACGGGGGACAGCGGGCAGCGCAGGGGCAGTGAAGAACGGGCCGCCCACGGGCCTGGCACAGCCGCCCGAACTGCGCGCAGGCGGCCCGAGTCGCGCGCGGGCCTGGCGCAGCCCGTACGGGCCGCGCGCGGGCCTGGCACAGCCCATACGGGCCGCGCGCAGACTGTACGGGCCGCGCGCAGGCCACGACGGGCGACAGGGGGCGACGCGCGGGTCCCCGTCGCCCGTCGCAGCGCCTCCCAGGAGCGACGCGCGGAGTGACGGGGCAGAAACCCGCCGCGCGCCTCGGGGCGCACGGCGGGCAGAAAACCGCCGCACGCTCCGAGCGCGCGGCGGGATGAAAAATCCGTTGCACGCCACGGGGCGTGCAACACAGAGAGTAGCAGTAGCAGCGGAAGCAGTGAGGTGGTGAGCCCACCCACAGGATCGACCCAAGGGGATCGACCTGCTCTGATAGCATGACAGAATCAGGAGTAGTAAAGTTTAGAATGAAGAAGAAGAAGAAGAAGAAGAAGAAGAAGAAGAAGAAGAAGAAGAAGAAGAAGAAGAAGAAGAAGAAGAAGAAGAAGAAGAAGAAGAAGAAGAAGAAGAAGAAGAAGAAGAAGAAGAAGAAGAAGAAGAAGAAGAAGAAGAAGAAGAAGAAGAGGCAGAAGAAGAAGAAGAAGAAGAAGAAGAAGAAGAAGAAGAAGAAGAAGAAGGGAGTTCACTAGCAAGCGGTTGAGTACATATAGGAAACCCTAAGTCGAGCTGTACTCACTATTGAGTACCCCACTGCAGGCTAGACAAACATAACATTCTGACAATGGCATGTACAAAGTGCTGCAAAAACTGGAGGGAAGTTGGAAGTTTTGATCCGACGGTCGAATTTCACCAACGTTATTGGACGTCGAGCTGGTACTTTGAACACCCTTTTACAATTTTACACGCGTGCGGAGAAATGTCAGCCATTGTAGGGGAGGTGTGTGAATTCTACCGTTAGAGAACTTTAAAATGCTCTAAACCTTACGGCAACGTATTGCACCGTACAGACATGAACGCGACCTTCACTTCTGCAGAAGAGTTGGTTCAGGATGATGAAATATCTCACACCCAACTCCAGAACGCCATATTCCCTTGCAAACTTGCGACGCGACGCGGCCTGGTTCATTGCCCCTTCTCCATCCGTGACTGACCCAAGCCAGCACGTCTCTGCTCTGCTCCATCACCACTGTCTCTTTGCTTCCCTCGGAATGCGCACACCGCCACGCTTCCATTGCTCAATATCGCTCCTGGTCAGCACCCATCTCCATGCATCCCTGTCGACGCATCTGACTCCTGTGAATCCGCGTGATCAGCTTACATGATCCGCGTTGCCCAGCCGGCTTCCCCTGCGACTCTCTTTTCCATGCGACATTGCTCGCGCCGTCCTCTCTGAAGACTGCGGGCGACGGTCCTTGCTTGTCGTCGCCGCGGCGGGAGGCGCGGCGCATGGGCGCGTGTTTCTCGCGCGAGCTAGTAGCGGCGGCGCTACGCACCGATAGGAACAGCAGCGGGTCGTACCGAGGAGGGAAAGCGATCCGATCGTCGTGTAAGGCTCCCCACCTCACGCCAGTTTCACATTTTTCTGATGCGCATGCGCCGCCCACCCACATTAGCCGAGTTTACTTTTTGAGTCGACGCAAAAGTCCACTCGGCTCACCGTGAGCGTTTTTCTGATCAGCAGGCGCCGCCGACCGATCCTCCCTTTTCCGGACCTTTCCCCCACGCACTCCCCCTTTACCGTTTCCCCTTCTCCCTCCCGCCCTCCCCCTCGACCCCCTCCCGCCACCCGCTCGTAATGCGCAGCGCGCAAGGGCACTCTCCGTGCGCCTGAGAACCTTTGGGGAAACCGTTTCGGGCAGTGGAGGTGGATTATGAGATAGGTGAGGGGGGGAACGGAGATGGAAGATAGGCGCGCGGAGGAATGGGCTGGGTGAGGATGTGAGGGGAGGAATAGGAGAAGGTGAGGTGAAGAATGGGAGATGGTGAGGGGAGGAATAGGAGAAGGTGAGGGGAAGAATGGGAGATGGTGAGGGGAGGAGCGGGAGAAGATGAGGGGAGGAACAGGAGAAGATAAGGGGAATGAACGGGAGAATGTGAGGGGAGGAACGCGAAAAGGTGAGGGGAGGAACGCGAAAAGGTGAGGGGAGGAACGCGAAAAGGTGAGGGGAGGAACGCGAAAAGGTGAGGGGAGGAATGCGAAAAGGTGAGGGGAAGAACGCGAAAAGGTGAGGGGAGGAACGCGAAAAGGTGAGGGGAGGAACGTGAAAAGGTGAGGGGAGGAACGCGAAAAGGTGAGGGGAGGAACGCGAAAAGGTGAGGGGAGGAACGCGAAAAGGTGAGCGAAGGAACGTGAAAAGGTGAGGGGAGGGATGGGAGAATGGCGGTGTGGCTGGGGCGGGGCGTGTATGGAATCACGCATATTGCAAGGCACCGCCAGTCCCAGCAGCACTTTGCAAGGCACCGCCAGTCCCAGCAGCACTTTGCCTTCAAGACTATCATCAAGGTGAGGACGCCCTTCCTGCCCATACCTTTCCACCACACTCCACCATTCCCCACCAGCCCAGACCCCCTCAGCACCACCTCTACCCCACGTTGTGTGTCAGCTTGGCACGAGAGGCCACCACCCTCAACCACCTCGTTCCACCCCATTCCACCCTTCCCCAACTGTAAACCCCCACCAGCGCCACCTGTCCGCCACGTCATGTGCCAACGTGGCAAGGAAGGCCATTCTTGCTCACACCTTTCCAACGCATTCCACTGTTCCGCACCTGCCCAGCCCCAACCAGCGCCACCTGTCCGCCACGTCATATGCCAACGTGGCAAGGGAAGCAGCCATTCTTCTTGCCCACCTGTCCACCAGCCATGCGGGCATTGCGGCGTTCATCGACCGATATGGAAACGCCACGTATGTGCACTTCATTCTGCAGCTCTGCACCAGGTGTGGACGAGGGGTCGTGCGTTGGGGTGGTGTGCAGGAGGGGTGGTGTGGTGTGGTGGGGTTGTGTGGTGGGGTGGGGTGGGGTGGGGTGGGGTGGGGTGGGGTGGGGGGTAGTGTTTGTGTGTGTGTTGGGTGGCATAAATGCAGTGCTGGGCGGTAGAGGTAGAGTGGGTGGGTGAGTGGACATGTGGGGTATCACAGGTGCTATGACAGTGATGGGTGGTGTAAGGCAAAGGGAATTCAACTCTCTGACCACAAACAGACCATTCCCGCTCCGCTCCCCCGCTTCCTCTCCCTCCCCTTACCAACACTTCAGCCCAACACTTCCACTTGATGCTGGATGGAGGAAGGAGCAGTGAAGGAGGAGAGGAGGATGAGGGAAGGAAGTGGGAAGGAGAGGAGGAGGATGAGGGAAGGAAGTGGGAAGGAGGAGAAAGGAAGAGGGAAGGTTGAAGGAAGGAGGAGGGAAAACGGAGGAAGGTGGATGTAAAGCAATACTCACCCTTCTCCTGCCCCTCCTCCTGCCAGGCAGCAAGCACAAGGGTAGCACTCCTTTCCAAAGCTTCACCTTGCCACCGAAACGCCTCTCGCCTAGCCCTCTACCTCCTACCCTCCTGTGTTGGTGTGACTTTTGAGAATTCTCAAGAGTCATACCTGCTTCTCCACTATTGACAGGTGGAGAGCAACAATCCTTTCCTCTCCCTACCCTCCCCAGCCACCCTGGGGGGCATGCTGGTTGCAACATCTTTTCTTATCAACTTATAAAGCCTCTCCCCTTTCCGCCTCTCCCCTTTCCGCCTCTCCCTTTTCCGTCTCACCTTTTTCCACCTCCCCTGTCTCTCCCCTCTCCCCTCACACCCACCAGGCAGCATGCTTTATGACGAGCCCAAGGCACACTGCTTCATCCTTACCCTCCCCCTTCTCCTCCCTCTCCCTCACACCCCTCCCCCTCCCCTCCCCACCCACGAGGAGGCATGCTATACAACGGTATCAAGGCGAAGGGCAGTTTTAGTGAGGGAAAGTGTCTCTTTCTGACTCCCCTTCCTTTTCCACTCGCCTCAAAAGCCCTCCCCACCCCTCCCATCTCCACTTCCACTAAACCCCCCTCGCTACCCCACCCAGGATGCATGCTATATGACGGCTTCAAGGCGGAGGGCAGCTACAGTGAGCAGCGGGCGGCCGGCATGGTGCGGCAGATAGTGCGGGTGGTGCGCGGCCGGCATGGTGCGGCAGATAGTGCAGGCTGTGCAGTACATGCATGAGCGGGGAGTGGCGCATCGGGATCTCAAGCTCGACAAATTCCTGCTGCTGCATGGGAGGGACCACACACCCCTCTTGGCCATCAGCCTTTGGCCTCTCCACCTTCTTTGAGCCGGGTGCATGTCGGTGTGCTGGTGGTACGGGTGTCGGTGTGCTGGTGGTGGTACAGGTTTTGGTGTGCTGGTGGTTGTACAGGTGTCGGTGTGCTGGTGGTTGTAAAGGTGTTGGTGTGCTGGTGGTGGTACAGGTGTCGGTGTGCTGGTGGTGGTACAGGTGTCGGTGTGCTGGTGGTTGTACAGGTGTCGGTGTGCTGGTGGTTGTACAAGTATCGGTGTGCTGGTGGTGGTACAGGTGTCGGTGTGCTGGTGGTTGTACAGGTGTCGGTGTGCTGGTGGTTGTACAGGTGTCGGTGTGCTGGTGGTGGTACAGGTGTTGGTGCCTTGAGAACCCCCAAGTGGTGTGGCACATGTGCATCGGGATCTCAAGCTCGATAACTTCCTGCTGCTGCATGGGGAGGACCACGCACCCCTCATAGCCATTGACTTAGGCCTCTCCACCTTGTTTCAACCAAGTTTGTATGTGTTGGTCCTCAATGCGCCTTGTAAGGGCAGTGCGGGGAGTGGTGCATCGGGATCTCAAGCTCGAAAACCTCCTCCTGCTGGGGTAGAGGATGCACCCCGGGGAGGATGCACCCCCGGGAGGATGCACCCCTCTTGGCCATTGACTTTGGCCTTTCAACATTCTTCAGTGCAGTGGTAAGCAGCATGGTAAGCAGTGCAGTGCAGTGTGGTGTGGTGCAGTGCAGAGCATCAGAGAAAGGATCTCAAGCTTGAAACCTTCCTGTTGCTGCACGTGGGGGACGACACAGCGCTCATGGCTATAGCCATGTGCGTGTGCTGGTTGCTGTAGTAAAACCACACGGGAAGCAGTGCAGTGCTGTGCAGTGTAGTGCAGTGCAGTGCTGTTCTGTGTAATGTAGTGTAGTGCAGAGCAATGCAGTGGTGCCGCATACTTGGAGCGACGCACCCCTCTTGGCCATTGGCTTTGATCTTTCCACGATCTTTAAGTCGGGTAAGTGTACTGGTACATGCTGGTGTTTTAATGCGTGCTGATGCTTTAGTGCATGCCTGTGCTTTAGTGCATGCCTGCGCTTTAGTGCATGCCTGTGCTTTAGTGCATGCCTATGCTTTAGTGCGTGGCGGTGCTTTAGTGAGTGTTGATGCTTTAGTGCATGTGCGTGTGGAGTGCATGCTTCAGTATGCAACTGTGGACTCTCCAATTTCCACTCCCCAACGTGACACAGCAGTGCGCCCTGCGTCCACCTTTTCTCCCCCCTCACAGCATATTTCAGGGCAGCGCTTTAAGAAGATGGTTGGCAGTGTTGGAAACAATCAAGCTTAAGCGCCTCTGTCGTGTCGAAACACCAAGGCACAAGCGAAGCGAAGCATATCGAGGCACCAGCAAGTCAACCCTCGGAGGTTGAAGTAACTGCTGGAGGTTACGCGAAAGTCAAAGGTCAGCGACCTTTGACCTGACAAGTACAGCGCGACAGCAAGGACACACAACTGACTCGCTACAGAGCAGTTGCCCGAGTCGTCAGTGTATCGAACCGCAACAGCTAAGTAGTTACAACTGTATCTCTTCATATTCCTTGTACTCATATAATCTTGTATCTCTTTGCCTTAATAAACTTACTTTGCCCTCACATACTAGCGCAAGGTGGTTCACAACTCTTCATTAAAACGCTTCCGCTACTACATCAGTCCTACCCAGAGTTCACCCCTGCAAAGGGCTTTTCTCAGCCCAACATGGTATGAGAGCTGTCAGGGAGAATTCAACTTCTATCAAGATACCGACATCATCAACAGGCATGGCTACACAAAAGGAAAGGAGCTCCTCCAACGGCTCCCAGGGCACCACTCCTACTCCACCTCCCGCCTCTGGCCTACAGACAGAGGAGGGTACGGCAACAAGACCCAGGGCAACATCCACCGAGACTCCTGCGAATCAACCTGCAGAATTCGACCAGAGCATGATGGAGAAATTCTTCTCCTTCATGTCCTTCTACGAGCAACACCAGCAATCGGCACCTGCGCAGTCACACAATAGCAACAACAACAGAGCAACTCCCATGAGTCTCGACGGCTCATCATACGCACGAGGAAATCAACAGAAACAGCCTACCTTTGCTCCGTACGAGCGCGGGTCCATCAGCTTTATGCCACACCCGCAGCCTTCACCTGGACAAGAAAAGTCACTGGACGCATTACAAGTTCAGTCGCAGTTCGCGCACGTTCTGAAGATGCAGGCGTCAAGACCTTTCGATGGAAAGGATTTCTTCACTTGGACATTTGAATTCGAGTTGATGATGGAAGGCGCGCAGATACTTGGCTTCTTCGACGGGTCCCTGCCATACCCAACAAACGGCACACAGTATGAGAAGCAGCAGTACACCTATCAGTCGATGATGGCGTATACGATTCTACTGAAGAACATCACCCTGACTCAACAGGAGAATATACGGTCTTACCGGGGTTACGGCAACTCCGCGGAGCTCGCATACAACCACTTGAAGAGCCTGTATCAAGCAACAGACAACGTAAATCAAAGTCGGTTAATGGCGCAACTGACAACGGTCGAAATGAAACCAGGCGAGAAAGGAATGGTGTATATCAGCCGATGTCGCGAGTTGCGCGACAAACTCCTTCGATGCGGAGGGTCGATATCTGAAGACGCCTTCGTGACAGTTATCATTGGCGGTCTCGGTCCTCAATGGCGCGCCACAAAGGCCATTCTCCGAGCCTCACTTCCTGGACCCACCCTCTAGATCTTGATCCAGACTTCAGCCCCGGCGGCTTCTGGCATTCACACACCATCCCTGAGGCAGAAAGAACAAGGGTGTTAGCAACAATTCAACACTCAGCAGCAGCAGAGACAACATCATCAGCAGCAGAGACAACAGCAGAGACAACATCGGCAGCAGCAGAGACAACATCGGCAGCAGCAGAGACATCAACGGCAGCAGCAGGAACGTCAACACCAGTCGCTGGTCCTTCAACGGCACCACTCCTCGTCGACGACACACCACCGACAATCGCGCAACAACTGCACCCAGCACCACAAGAAGTTCATCGAAGCGCCAACTTCACCGCCAGCTTCTATTCCAACTCCGATATGTATCGGCGCTCACCCGAACATCGTGCAACCGAAGGAACCTGGCACGCAAGAATGGGACACCCAAGTAACACAGTGTTAAACAACACGATAAGAGCAGGCGTGCTCGATAAAGACTCTCTACTCCTAATAGACGGCAGAGAACTTCAGCGAGCCCATGGAACATTCTTCACGTGTCCCGAAGCTGACTTACCGCATCAACCATTTGCGTCTCACCACAACCCAAGCGCACCAGCTTACGCGCCACTCATGAAGGTGTACAGCGACATCTTGTACAACCGCGAGCCTGGACAAAACGCGTACAACTACACCATCACCTTCATCGACGCCGCCACACAATATGTCTGGCACCTAAACCTTCCGATCGAGGACATGGCCTTCGAAGCCTTCGTCATGTGGCTCCCAGTAGCAGAACGAGAATCAGGCGTCAAACTAAAGAGCTTCCAGTCAGACGGGGGAGGAGAATACACCTCACAGAGGTTCAAGCAGTACTTGGCTCAAAGGGGAATCAAGCGGCTCATCTCCCTTACCTACGCCCATCAACAGCAGTGTGTAGCAGAAAGAATGAACAGGACCCTCCAGAACACCATGCGCAAGCTGCTACGTGGCATGCACCTGCCCAACCACCAGTGGCCCGAAGCAATGGACCACGCCGTCATGTTGCACAACCTGCTCTCGTCATCATCGTTCCCGAACAACGCATCACCGCATCTGCTGTGGACAGGAAAACTGGGCAGCACAAAAATGTTAAGGGTCTTCGGCTGCATGGTACAGTACCGGCCTCCATCTGCACGAGCTGGCCGATTCTGACAACGCGCATAGTGGGGACTACACCTGGGCATCGAAAAGCACTACAATGCATGGAAGATTTTCGACGTCGAGACAAAGGAAACAGTAGCAGCACGTGATGTCATCTTCTACTTGACCAAGAAGCTCAGAAAACAGAAGTTCGAGTACTGCATGCTGCTGACTGGACAGAGCCACGTCACCAACAGCGACACTCTAGAAGGGAAGGGGAGTGTTGGAAACAATCAAGCTTAAGCGCCTCTGTCGTGTCGAAACACCAAGGCACAAGCGAATCGAAGCATATCGAGGCACCAGCGAGTCAACCCTCGGAGGTTGAAGTAACTGCTGGAGGTTACGCGAAAGTCAAAGGTCAGCGACCTTTGACCTGACAAGTACAGCGCGACAGCAAGGACACACAACTGACTCGCTACAGAGCAGTTGCCCGAGTCGTCACTGTATCGAACAGGCCCTCAGATTGGTTTGAGGGTATGCTGATGGATCAGCGTGCCCCGGCCAGGGCTCTAGTTATCAGACCAAATCGGTCTGATGGTCTGAAAATCAGACCTGATTTCTTTGTTTCATCTGATCTTCCATATCATAGTTTTTGTTTCATCTGAACCACAAGACGAATGATTTTATTTCGTCTGAAAAAAAAAAAGACTAGGTGTTATATTCCGTCTGAAAAATCAGAAAGCGCTTACAATTTCATCTGATACCGAGAAAGTACCGTACTGGCCTGCCCCCTCCCCCTCCCACCCCCCCCCTTCCCCTCAATCCCCCCTGCCCTAAGTCCCGTCCCTCACGCGCTTCTCCTAACCCAACCTCACCACCAAGTCTCTACCAGCCCAGCCTCTCGCTGCGCAACCCCAGTCCATCCCCCCTTCCCCCGCCTAGCTCCCCTACACCTTTCCCAGCCCAGCCCCCTTCCCCTCAAGTCCCTCCACCCCCTTGGTCCGTCGCGTAAGACACGGACCCACCCATGCATGTCCCTCGCAGCCCAACTCCCCCCCCCCCCCAGTCCCCCTAGGCGCCCAAC